CTTGCCCCCTAGAAAGCTAGGCCATTCATACTGAATCTTTTAAGTATCAACAAGTGACTGGACAAGGGAGAAACTTTTCTTGGAGAATCGGGTTTCATTTTTCTTTTTAGCTGTTCAATGATAATTGAATTTTATAGTGTGAAAAGTAGGTCCAATTAATAGATACGATTTATCTTAAATGAAAATTTTGATAGTTTAAGCAATCATGGCTCGTCAGCAATGAGATTTCGGAATTCTTGTTGGGAAACAAGCAGAAGTCATCAAGTACGATCATTTACTTGAGGGTATTTTGGAACATTCAACTGTTTTTTTTTTCTGTTAACCTAGTCACCATTCAAACGGTCAATGAAGATTGACTAAATGCAAGGACTTACTTGTTACGGATTTGTTGATTTTGAGGGTCATTTGGTAGTATGGCCAAACCTCAAGGTCTGATCGGTAGTTTGGTCAAACCAAATGGTGGTATATGCAATTAACCCTAAAGAATAATAATCCAAAATTTTAAATTAAATGCTACAGGAGCATGGACCTTATGTCGGTGTCTTCCCAAGAAAAAAGACTCTAGGTCGGTGAAAGAATTACTGCTGATATATAAAGTGGAGCTCGAATGAGGAAACTGGGAAATCGTATTGCTTTTGGGAAGGAGGAAGTTTCTATATATTTGGATAAGTCCGAACGAGAGCTCTGGTTTTTTTTTTTCTGCTTTTAAGCGATTCAAGAATCTCAGATTTTTCTCTAGGGTTTCACTAACCATTCATTCTATGCTAATTACTTCTTAATTTCATTATTATTCAAGAATTCGAAGCCCTGATTTGGATCGGGACGGCCAAAAAAAGGAAAGCAACCTAAAATTCGAGCCCTAATTTCGGTTCGTCGCAATAACAACAAATAAAGAAATTGCCATTGATTTCGATTGTTAACTGGATGGTGACAATGGCAGATTCTGCTAATCAGCGTTGTGTTGTATTTGTCGGGAATTTAACTTTTCACGCCAGTGAAGAAGAGGTAACAAAAAAGTGCGAGGAAGTTGGCCCTGTTGTTTCGTTTCGATTAATGCGTGATAAAGAAACTGGGAAACGAAAGGGATATGGATTTTTTGAGTACAGGGATGAAGAGACAGCAACGAGTGCAATTCAAAATCTTAATGGGGAAGATTTGGGAGGAAGAAAATTACGAGTTAATTTTGCAGATAATGATAAAAATTAAATCGGAAAAATAGGAGTAACAATAATAATCAGAATCAGTTTGGATTTGGAAGTGACCCTTTGACAGAATATTTGGCTAAAATTCCTAGGGAAAAATTGATTGAGATTGTGTCTGATATGAAGAAATTGGCTGCAGAAAATAAGGAGCATGCTCGCCAGCTTTTACATGCATGCCCTGCTTTGCCTAAAGCTATTTACCAAGTACAGGTGATGCTAGGAATTGTACCTCCTCAAATGGTGCAGATGCAGTTGCCAAACTCTGCTGCTGCTGCAATTCCTCAATTTGCTGCAGAAAGTAAAGGTTTGGATCAGTCCCAATTGCGTGTGGAGTCAATAGACTCTACACAATCTGGAACCAGTTTCTTGAATGATGATCATCCCTCCAAATGCGTAAAGTTGAACGATGGAAGGGTTGTATCTTCCTCCAGAGACGAAGGCTCTCAGGACGGTTTCTGATATAATGTTCGTCCATTAGAGAGTGCAAAACTAAGTGGTGGAATGGCTGCATCTTCATCCACAGACGGCGGAGGATCAGCCTGTGATAGCATAGTTGGTAAGTTGCACTTTTCAGCCGAGGAAGAATCTTATCTGTTGCAGCAAGTGAAGAATCTTACGCCTGAGCAAATTAGTTCGCTGCCTCCTTCCATTATTTCTCTTGGCGCATTCTAGTCTGATATTGATATCTAAATAATCCAAGATTGTAACCAAATGCCTGGCAATTGAAAACCTTTTGATTTTTTTTTTTAAAAAAAACTTTTGATATACAATGGTATATTAGCATAAATCATTTTTGCCCATTTAGCTACTGTACCGACCTTGTAATTTTTCCACAATAGCTGCACTACACTACGAAAATTGTTACGTTCAGTTATTGTGCTCCTTATCATTATTATTATTTGTTAATTTTATCTTATCATTTTATTTTCTTTTAATTTATTAATTTGTTCATTTTTCAGCATTACTAATTTATGACAAGTTTTAACCTTTTTTCCTACCTTTCCAAAATGAAATTTTACATTTACACATGAAAAAAATACTAGAGGTTCAAAAATTTGCATTAAGTTTATATGTTAACTTTTATAATATTTAGTTAAAATTTTTATATTCTTATTGTTTAGTTATTAAATAGTGTGTAATTTTGTAACATAGAGTACGGATGGAAAAAAATTAATAATTAAATTTAATAAATATTATAAATAAATATTTAAAATTAATGATGGATGCAAAAAATGGTATAAATTGATAGCTTAGTTAACAAAAATGAATTTAAATGAGTTTACAAAAATGAAATCATGCATGTTGGTGGATTAACTTTGAATAGAGCTAGAACCGATGAATGGAGAACCCATAATCCATCCCACATATCATACCAGAAAGCAATTACAGGAACCAACAAAATGGGTACCTGAAGAAGCGCTGAGTTTCTCCGGACCGAGCTGACCTGACTAGCTCGGCGTGCTGATGGGAAGAGCTGGTTCCAAGCCTGCAAGACAAATAAGAGAGTGATCTAACAAGGGGGCCCCGAAATCGTCCCCGAGGGCACTCCGACGGTCAAGTTAGCGCTTTAGTGAATGAAGTTCACGGGGAATAAAGCAGCCGGAAGTAATGTGCCAATAGTGAGCGTACCTTGTGCAGTTGGTGTGCGTTACCATTTATACCTGCGTGAGAGTCCGACCTCCGTACGTTTCGGGGCTCACCCGGTATAACCACAATCCCGGGCTAAGGGGGATTCTCCCCGCCCTCTGCGGGATGGTTCCCTGGAACCTCTTGGGAGCCCTAGTGGCGGTGTACCCGAGAACGGTTATCAAAGGCCTGCGATCCAGGTCCAGTTCTGCCCTTCCTGAGCTGCCACGTGTCTAGGTTCAGGACGGGGCCTCTGCAGTACCCATCATCTGCTATCCCCATTCCCCACATATCTTTCTTTTTTTGGGCTTTTGATGATGGCTGCCGGCCTGTGTCAAGCCGGCAGCCATCATATTTATAAGAAAAGTTGCACGTGGCTGCCGGGCTGACAACCCAGAAATTTAAAAAAAAAAAATTTTACTGCCAGGCTAAATCAGCCATGGTTTTGTACCATAGCTCTGTCAGAACTTTATTCTTGAGATTTTTTTTTTGAACAATATTCTGAGCAATTAGCAATTACAATTTTGATTCCAAGTGTTTAAGGTATGAATGCTTTTAGTCATTAAAGTTTGGATCAGAACAAATGTAGTCTCAAATATTTTAGTTTTTATGCATATTTAGTCCCAATGACTTACTTTTACCGGTTACTACTGGAATTTGGTTATGTGCTAGCAATTAATTTTCAAAAAAATAGAAAAACTTAATAAAAAATTGCTAGCCATAATCTCTGTAATAAAGATGAGTAATTAGTCTTTTTGAAACAAAGTAATTAGTCTTTAACCTAAATTTTTGTTAATTGAATTTTTGCATTTTTGGGCTAAAGACTAATAACACACGATCTACAGTGAATAATTAATCATCTTTTACTACAATTTATGGCCAGCAATATTCACTTCAAGTTTAAAATTCTTTTAAAAAAATTAATTGCTGTTTATGTAGTATGTGATTGGATTGCAATAGCAATTGGTAAAAATTAGTCAATAAGATTAATGCGCAAAGATTGAAATATTTGGAACTACATGTACTTTCTTCCAAATTTAGGGATTAGAAATGCTTATGCTTCAAATATTTGAATCCAAAACTGCAATTTTTCCAATATACAAATAGACACTCAAATGAGTTTTGGTCTAAACCTTTTTCTTATACCTGGCAATTGGACGGATTAATATTCGGTTTTCATTTAAATGGGTTACACCCAACCCGCCTAATTTAAGATTGGGTTAATTTTGGGTTGTGTCATATTGGGTCAACTCAAACCCATGACCTAAATATGATCCAATATATTAATTAATAGATTTTGATACATAAACTCTCTCAAATACATTTTCACATACAATAAAAAAAATTTCACACAAATAAACACATTTTCACATAGATAGATATATTTTTACAAACTAAAACACTCACAGATACAAACACACACTCACTTCTTAAGCTCTTTTGAAATATTTTATTTTTACACATACAAACACACTAAAATACACTTGTGGATTGTTAACTTGCCATACTTTGTGGGATCATTAATCCTATCAAGGAGCCAATCATAGAAATTGGAGTTGCAGTATTCGAAACCCTTGAGCAGGAGTTCGAGATTAGGGAGGACAGCCAGTAGAGCATTGTTATGTGCAAATGCTAGAGCACTAGCATGTTCAAAACAGCCAGCATGGTGGCCTTTAGGATTGAGAACTCAGCGGGCTGGCAAGTAGCCCAGGGGCATAAGCTCAGAAATCCAAATTTTCTGGCTCTGACCATACATCTCCTAAATTGAATAAAGCACGTGTTTACTTTCATTATTATTTCTTGTTTTTTGATTTTAATTAATTAATTTATTTTTTTCTTAAATTGGATAATGGGTGCTTAGCATAAATATCCAAACCATCCAAAATATATGTGAGTTTTTATTATTCAACCCAAAATTGACCTAAAATTCAACTTATCCAGCCCAACCTCTCAAATTAATGGGTGAGTTGGGTGGATTGTTGGATTTTGGACATAATTGCTATGTCTATTTTTTCTCTTTGAAAATGAATTTTTTGGATATTATATTTTGAAGTGAGCTGCAAAAGTTAAAAAGAAAGAAAGAAACAAAAGCCCAAGTGAGGGATGTAAGTGAGAAAAAAAAAAAAAAAAAAGTGGCAATGTTACAAACCTCAAGGAGGTTTCTGAAGTTATCCCTTTTATCTTTACACACTTTGTCCAGCTTCAAGCAGCCTTGAGTTTCTGTTGCCATCTCCGCCCTCGAGTCTGCCTTTCGTCCTCCTTTGCTTCCGCTCCTCTCCAAATTCCACCACCACCAGCCGCCGTGCATATGATGTGAAAGCCTCCTCGTCCTCTTTGCCCTTTTAATTTTCCTTCTCCTTCTCTTGAATTACTGCCACCCAATTGCTGTTTAGTGAAGGGTCTTCAAAGAGAGAATTTTGGGTTAAAGGTTGATTTGTTATGGCTGTCTTTCTGTGCAATTCCCAAGTCGACTTCAATAGCTGAATTGGAAAGGTGAGTTCTGAAATTTCTCATTCGACCACCACTCAGCATCCACTTGGTATTATGCTAAAAAGATCAAAACATTTGCCTCATCCTTGTCGAAAAACCCAATCTTTACCCTTCAAGAATGTAGCTTCTGCAATTTTGATTAGTGGGATTTGCAGTAATAGTACCAATAATATTGTCAAAGCTGCAGCTTCAGAATCTGAAAATGAATGGGAAAGTTTGCTCAAACCATTTGACCTCAAACAGCTTAAGAAAGTACTCAATAAAATTACCCCTTATCAGCTTAGCAAGTTTCTGGCTCTTCCTTTGGATGTGCCTACATCCTTGGAGCTATTTCGGAAGGCTAGTGCCCAGAAAGGCTATTGTCACACTTTTGATGTGTACTATACTTTGATTGATAAACTTGGTGCTGCTAAGGAGTTTAAGGCTTTAGATAAACTGTTATTGCAGATGAAGGAGGATGGGATAGTTTTCAGGGAGTCCCTCTTCATTATGATCATGAAGCATTACGGTAGAGCTGGTTTACCTGGTCAAGCCACTAGGTTGCTTTTGGATATGAGGAAGATATTTTCTTGCGAACCAACGTTTAAATCGTATAGTGCTGTGTTGGGAATTCTAGTGGATGGTAATTGTCCTAAAGTTGCTGTTAATGTCTTTTATGAAATGCTTAACAAAGGTGTCTCCCCTAGCGTTTCATGTTTCGCCAGAGTAATAAAAGCGCTATGCATGATTAATGAAGTGGATTCTGGGCGTTCACTTCTGAGAGACATGACGAAACATGGGTGTGTGCCCAATTCTATAATTTACCAGACATTGATTCATGCACTTTCCAAGGCCAATAGAGTAGATGATGCCTTGAGGCTTTTGGAGGAGATGTTTCTTATGGGTTGTATACCAGATACCAATACTTTCAATGATGTTGTAACTGGCCTTTGCCATTCCAGTCGAATTCATGAGGCTGCCAAATTGGTTGATCGAATGCTTGCTCGGGGTTTTGCCCCTGATGCTATAACATATGGAGTTTTGATGCATGGTTTTTGCAGAACAGATCAAATAGATGAAGCCAGGGCCCTGCTATACAGAGTGCCCAATCCCAATATTGTTCTGTTTAACATTTTGATCAAGGGATTTGTGACCTCTGGTCGTTTTGATGAAGCAACAGCTCTTATGAGGGAGGGCCTGATGAATGTTGGCTTGCAGCCGGATATTTATACATATAACATCTTGATTCATGGCCTTTGCGAAAAGGGTTGTTTGGTGTCAGCTTGTGAAGTTCTTGAGGAGATGTCAATCAAGGGTTGTAAGCCCAATGTGATCACATATACTATTCTGATTGAAGGATACTGTAATGAAGGACGTTTAGAGGAGGCTAATGAACTTTTGATTGAGATGTCATCCCAAGGTCTTAGTTTAAATGTGGTCGGATATAACTGTCTTGTCTCTGCTTTGTGCAAGGATGGAAAGATCCAGGAGGCATTAGAAACTTTTGGTGATATGTCAAGAAATGGATGTAAACCAGATATATTTACATTCAACTCTTTAATATTTGGGTTTTGCGTGGTTGATAAGATGGAAGAGGCACTTAGCATGTATCGTGATATGTTGCTTGAGGGGGTTATTGCCAATACTGTTACCTACAACACATTGATACATGCTTTCCTGAAAAAAGGTGCAATCCACGAGGCCCTTAAGCTTGTAGATGATATGTTGTTTAGAGGATGTGCCCCTGATGAGTACACATATAGTAGCCTTCTACATGCACTGTGCAAAGATGGTGCTGTTGAGAAAGCATTGGGACTTTTTGAGGAAATTTTGAGAAAGGGAGTCTACCCTAATAACATATCCTGCAACATTTTAATCAATGGCTTGTGCAAAATTGGCAAGGTACAAAAGGCACTTGAATTTTTAAGAGAGATGATTCATCGTGGATTGACACCTGATATAGTTGCATACAACACTTTGTTAAATGGTCTATGTAAGTTGGGTTGTGTTCGAGAAGCAACAAGCCTTTTTGATAAATTGCAGTTTGAAGGCATTAGTCCGGATCCCATCACGTATAACACTCTTATAAGTTCCTATTGTAGAATGGGCATGCTTAATGATGCCCATATGCTCTTAAATAGAGGTGTGGCCTGTGGATTTATACCTAATGAGGTGACATGGCATATCTTAGTCAGGAACTTTGTGAAAAAGGGTACACAAGAGAATCAAACATTTTCTGGATATTCCAACTGTTTATTTTAGTACCCATTATGTGAATGTTCTTGTGGGAATCCATTATGAAGTTCTTTTGCTTTGCTGAAAAAACCATTATAATTATTGGGATTGTTTTAGCAATCCCAGTCGTTTAAGGAAGCCATATAGCATACATTGGAAACAATCCCAGTTGTTTGAGAAAGTCATAAAGCATAGATTGGATAGATGCATATATTCTTTAGTCAACTTTAACTAGGTTTTTATCCATTGAAGTTTTAGCTGCAATCTGTTGAAATGCTCAATGCGGCTTCAGACCTGACTGTTGTATGGGCACAGGGTTCGAAACCTGCACTTCTTCAAATTATAACTATATAAAAAACATCATGGTTTGCCACCATAACATGGACTGATTATACGGTAATTTCAAGTAACTCTGGTGGCTTTTGTATTAGACTGAGTTTGCCTATAAAGACAGTTGTTGTTTGTAACTGTTGTTCCTTTAGTTCCTGCAGTGAGTGGCCGGTGCAAGAAGGTCTGTTGGAACTGCTGACTGATTGCTGCTTTTGAGAGAGCTTGCTTACCAGATCAGTTAGGCCAAAGAGTTTTGTGCGAACTACAGATTCTGGAGATTTACCCGGATACTTAAACTCTGTGGTGAGAATATAAGTTTCTTGATTTTTGCTTCACCTCCAGCTTACAGGTGTGTATGAATTGTTTACATGCATGTATGAATTTACATGTATAATTGATTAGACTCAGGCAGAGCATATGACTGGCATATGCACATGAATTATTGGCTTTGGTCTAATTAATTCATTACTGACAGTTGAGGGTTGCATGGTTATGAATTGCTTTTTTTTTGTGGCTCTTGATGCATGTGCTTATATAATTGAGTATTGTGTTTGACATAAACAAGTGAAACCAGAGGTTTGCCGTGCATATCCACATGAATTATTGGTTTTGCGCTTATGAATTTGTTACTCACAATTGAGGTTTCATTCACTTGATTTGCTTGTTCTGCTTTTGATGCCTTCCCTTTTATAATTGAGGCCTGTATTTGACATGAACAAGTGAGGTTAGTGGTTTCTGTTGAGTTACAATTGTGATAAATGATAATGAAAGCTTAGGTCTGGTTCTTTTGGAAGGTGAATTCTTCACTCTATCTCTGCCCTTATCGTATATTTTTGCTGTACTGTAGTTCTGTTGCTGCATGCAGATTGACTGTGGGTGTTGAATTTGTTGATCTGTCAATAAGATTCTGTGTGTGCAGTTGATTAAAGTTATGCATACCACATGATTTATATATTTACAAGGCTCATTTGACCGATTGCTGTGAATTTTTGTATGATATTGAGGGCTGGTCTCCTTTGATCAATACTAGATCAATGCTAGATGGTTGAAAGCAGTTAAGAGTTATCCATGTTTCCAGCAATACTTGGTCTTCCTACAACTGATCTGAAATTAAACTGAAGAATGGCAAACCAAACTTATAACCGGGATTCAGGGAATCAGATTTGCGTGCGTGTTGACTGAACTATAATTACGTTAAGGTGCAAGAAAAGCAGCTAGACTTATTTCTCTGAACGAGAAGGTCAACTTTCTAATCATTGTTTCGTTTCTTTACTTTTGTATATCCAAATTCGCAAATGTATTGGTTTATCTTAACATGGGGTAATTGATAGTTTGTTGATATGTGTCTCAATGATGGACATTCTATCAAATCTGATTTATAAAGGCAGTAGTAGATGTAGATGGATTACAGTTAAGCACCTAATTCATCCTTTTCTCTGAAGTCTATTTGACTTAGAACATAGAAGCTACTTCGCAGAATCCTGAAGCAAAAAGAAACATGTGAAAGGGTGTTTATAGTATTCATCAGGGTGAAAGTTTAAAAGAGGTGTGGGTTGCCTACAGGATTTTGAGTTCTTAAATTTCTCTGATTATATAACAAATGGAGCAGTAACACGTGTTGCGATGCTTCACTTCATAAAGCAACCAGCTGAAGACGAATGCTTCACTTCAGCCAACTCCTAATCCAGCAAAGCACCATGTGGAGGGTGATATGTCAAAGCCTTCTTGCACCTCAACCTCTAGAATTCTCTCATTACTTCCGTGATTTCATCTCTTTCCCATCTTACATATGTCTCTTCCTCTGCCTCTGTTGGCTAATCAGTACCAGCATCACTGCTGCCACCACCACTGAAGAATAAACTCAAATAAAGAAAAACACAGCTCTCCAACCTCAGTCACCTCCAAAACCACCACCACCACCACCACCACTACCACTGAAGAATAAACCCTAAATTAGCTGCTAACTATCGAACAAAGCTTGTGCTGAGAAATGAGATTGCTACAATAGAATTTAGACCATATATAATTTATTTGTTGTGTAATTTGGTATTTGGATGATTTAGTCATCATGCATTGATGCCTTTCTCTACAGACTCAGTTAGAGACATGATGAAGAATCCACTGTGTTTGGTCCAGTTCCACAGTTTCCACTTTCTCCCCCACTCTGTCTGTCATCAACTATTATCCATAAATCACTCACGAACAAACTGTTTAAAGTTCATCGCCTAATTCTCCACAAAGCTTTCAGATCACAAATCCTCCTCTTCTTCCATTCGTAACTGGTAGGCTTTCTCTTGATTAATCTTGTATTATATAAGATTTTGACTAATTTTGAAGTAGATGAGACATGTCATTATTTTAGTATTGTACTTTTTCCTCTTTGCATAGCTACTATGTTTTGCTTTTTCTGATTATTTGCATTTTTAGCACTTACTTTTCTTTCTTCTGAGTGTGTTTCCTGAAATGCATGTTGCAGTTGAAACCTTCTTCAAAAGTAAGCTCTTCTCATCATTTTTTATCTGTCATGTGAGGGTGATGAATCCATGAAGCTATCTATGATGTAGGTCTTTCAATTTCTTCAGACTTTTGCCACCTTTTTTTAATCTTTTCCATCAAATATTTCAGATAATTACACTGCTGAACAGAAATTCAAGTATAATAGGATGGAACATTCATGAGATTTTGACTTGCAGGCATGATATATTATGTAGGTTAAACTTTTTTTTCTTTGTCGATGACTTATATTTGCTTATATAATTGAATGAGGTGCACTTTCTTATTGAAGATATTAAGCTTTTGCAGGACTAGTGAGACTACAAAAATCAAATGTTTTTCCTTTGCTTCACTGATCTTTTTCTTAGTGGAGAACATCATTTCTTCTCTTCTCCTTGGAGATGAGTTATTAAAAGTGAGATGTTATTGATCTGTCTCTGGTCCCTGCTGATGAGCTCAAGTTCCTTCTCTTTTGACAGCTTGATGTATCAGCTGTGCTATTGGTTGTCATCAACTATCGTGCCAATTGGTTGAATTTGAAGGCCAAAGGTTTGTTTTACTGAACCTTTATTTTTACTCATTAAATTGCATGTGTTATTTCCTTGTGCTACTAGATTCCTTAGCACCATGCATGTTGATAATTATCTCTTCATTCCAAGTCGTAACAATTGAGCATTGCATTATTTTCTCCTACATTCTTTCCCTTAATTGTGGCTAATTCCTTGGACTTATTCTATTAGCCTTGGAAATCTAACTTTCTAACTCAATGACTTAACAAATTGGTTCTTTCTGGAGCTTTGTAAAATGTCTAAATGAGACAAGGTGATAACATTGCAGGTTGTCTATTGATTAAGTATGGGAGAGCTTTGGTTATGTTAAACTGGAGCATTGAAGCTTAATATGGTACTTTTCTTTGGATGCATTATTTTCTTTGATAAAGTTTAGCTTTATGCCTTTTTATTTGTTAGCCTTTTACCTTTACCTCCTATGCGTGTATCTTTCCAAGAACTTAGACTTGATTTTAAAAATAAAAAGAGTGGAACTAGAAAGCCTTTTAATAAATGCATCTGTCAATTTTAACTCTATTGAAGCTGGAAAATAGAGTGAAGAAGCACATGTTGTTTCATGCTTAATGTGGCATTTCCCCTCCCGTTCTGCACAATAACAACCTGAACTCTTGTACCCTTTACAGGAAACAGATGAGCACCGGAAAAATGTACCTTGGGGTAAGTTTTTTCTCATTCTCTAGGAATTGCTTGTTTATATTAATCTTTTCTTTCTTTCAACTGCTCTTGAAAGATTTTGATTTCTTGAACAAAAGAAGAATTAGAGAGCCAGATCAGTTGACTTGTTAAGTTGGTCAACTGACTGATTCACTGCCAAAACCTTGTTATATGATGTGTGCTTGTAGCTTCCTGATGAACTTTTTTTTCAAGTGTAACAAAAGCTTGATCAGATAATGTTACTTTGTGTTATTGTATGTATTTAGATATGAGGATAACAGATATGTAACCCCACCAAAGGTTCATTGTACTCTAGATGGATAATAATCATTCTCAGGTCCTTAGCTTAACTTTGTACTTCAGTGAATTGGTCAAACTATTAAAAATAATGTGAAATTTTGCTTTAGTTTTCTGCACGAGACTAATATATGGCAAATAGTAGCTCCCTATAACTGTCATTTATGCAAAGACCAATTTGTAGATGCAGGGACACTACTACTTTGCATTGGCGGCAATAGGGATAATACATTGCAGTGAATCTGAGTATGATATATTTCTCCAGGTTGTTCCTAACTATTGTTTAGTTCTTCCCAAGTAATTCTCGTACTAATGCATTCCCACAAATAGATAAGAAATTTGCAACAAATTCAAGAAAAAATCCAGGCACTTCGCAGCATACTCAGACAGAAATCTGGGCATCCTCTTTTTTTTTTTTGTAAAACTAGTGTATATATATATATATATATATATGTATATATATAAGGCTCTGATACCAGATGGGTCGAGGGTTTAGCCCCTTAAACCAAGAAAGTAAAGAAAATTAAAGAATAAAAAGCATAAGAGTTAGGAAGTGGGTTGCAGTCGGATTGCCACTAGTTAGTATAGGTGGTTGAACCAGCCATGTATAGACAGAATGTAAATAATATTTAAAGACAAGTTAGAATGTTAGTTCAGGCGGTATAACCGGCCATTGATTGTTAGTATAATCAAAACAAATAAAAACAAGTAAATGAATATGAATGTAGGTGGCTCAGCCAACCATTTGATTGAATGATATTGAATGTAAAAATAAAAGAGAACTTACAAGGATATGAAGCTTCAAGCTCCTTTGTTTGATCTAAAAACTAAAATATAAAAACTAAGAACTAGTTTGTAGAGAGAGGGAGGAGAGTTTCTTCAAGCTAGAGAGAGAAGTTGTCTTGAAGAAATGGTGTGTGTAATGTGTTGGGTTTGAGGGGTATTTATAGCAAAATTTTTCGTAGTGCTACACTACTGCTACAGTGTCTTTATTGTTGCTACAGTGCCCACTACAGTGCTTTGTTTGTCTTTTGTTGCCGTGCATGCACAGTAACTTGCCGGACTGCTACAGTTCTTCTGGTGCTACAGTAAAAACAAATTTTTCTGAATTTTGTTCCGATTGAGCCATCTTGAATGTATGTTTGTATTCTTAGCAGATTGTTGCGGATAACTCTTGTTTTGTCTCCTGAATCATTTTGTCAATCTTAGGAGCTTGTATTCCCCTTTGATGCTTGATCCAATGTTTGTGAAGGTTAAGCCTCTGAATTTTTCTCCGCCTTATGAAGCTTTGATCCTTCAAGCTGCGAATTGTATTGTTTGTTGGTTTTGCCACAATGTTGTCATGCTGGTATCGGAGACATGGACGAATACTTTGTCCAGTTTCAGTGTTGTAGAATACAACATTGTAGTACCTTATCCTGTCTTCCCTGCATTGTTGTTTGTAGGAATAGTATTCTTTTGCAATAGAATTATTAGTAAGGTAACTGGGTATCCATTTGCTGACTGGTGCTGAGTTTGTCATTGTTCCTGCAAAACAGAATCTATTAGTTTTTTAGAAAAAGGCAAGAGGGCATTAGGATCAAGAAGTTGAGATATTATGCCCTCGTTTGTAGTGAGGTAAGGAATAAGTTTACAAATGAAGGGCATTCCAAGAATAACATTATTGGATTATTTTTTGGCTAGAAGAAAGGTATTTTGAATGGATAAGGTGGAAATCTGGATTTGGACATTAGTTAACTTGAAATTTATTTCAAGTTTAGATCCATTGGCTCCTCTAAGAATTTCATTGTTTTGTTCAAAGAATTGAGGTGGAATAAGGCTTTCAAGGATACAATTTTGGTCTGCTCCAGTATCGAATAGAGCTTCAGTTTCGATTACATAATTATTGCTAATTAGTAATCGAATTTGGACCAAATAATCCTTGTCTTCCTTTGGTTTCTTAGATAGTTGTTCTAGGAATTCAGAATCCTCTTGGTTGATAGGTTCTTTTGGGGTTTGGTTTTGAAGAACAAGGCTGTTAAGGTCTTGTTTGGCTTTGATTGACCTAATTTCTTCCTTAATTAGATCAATCTCTGTTTGGAGGTTTTGAAGAGTCAAAGGTTTAACAGATTTGGAGGGAAACCTATCAAGAATTTCTGTGAGATTGTAGGTTTTGAGAATTCTAGGGTCTCTGGCTAAAGGATTTGAAGAATTTGTGGCTTGGTTCAAGGATTCTTTGAATTTGTCTAAATAGAGTTGTCTCTTTTCTATTTCAGGAGTATTTTCAATGATGTCAAGAAGAAGGTTTTGATCTTTTGTCAAAACATTGATGGTGTAACCTCCCTCTTCTTTATCACTGGTGGTTGTGAGGAAGAAGATGTTGAAATATCATCTTCCAAATGGTTGAGATAATCTTCTTCTTCTTTTTCTGAATCGATTAGAAGGTTTGAAATTTGGATTTTGACCTGGTCATCTAAATCCAAGGTACTAATCCTTTGGTTGAGTTTGCAATAACGAGCTATATGCCCGGGTTTATGACATTTGTAGTAAACTGGAGAAGAGTTTGGGGCTTGAGGAGACTGTATGGGTAAAGGTTGTTTGGGTTGATATTTCTTTTTGTATATGGGTGATTTTTCAAGATGTTTCTTGGGCCGTTTGTGAGGTTTTTTTGTAACAACTGGGTAACCCAAACTGTTCACAAAAGGATTCAAGGTCTTTTCTCCTTTGGGCTCGATCCTTTGCTAGTTGTCTGAGCATCTTGTCTTGTCTTGTCTGCATACTTTGAGTGCAACTTGTTGAATCTGACTGGTTAACTGTCCATAGGTTATTTCTTCCCATGATATAGTTTCATTGTATTGAGTCCTTAGTTCTTCTCGAACAAGGTCTCGTAAAGACTTGGAAGACCATCAAAGAATTTTTCTTTCCAATAGGCCTTGTTGCCATCTGTCTTGGAATATATCCTGGTTAAGAATGTATCTTTATACCATCGGAAGTCTGAAAGACTTTTGCATTTGAGATTGTTTAATAGTTCCGATGATTTTTCCCTGAATATCCCTGGATCACCAACGAATGTTTTTGCAATAGTGAATATTAAGGTTGCTACCGCATCTGAGATAGTGTCTCTATCTCGAAGAATTGGTTCACCATTAGTATCCACCTTGACAGCATTGAGAATGTTATCTTTGTCTTCTGCAGTGAGGTGTTCATCCCACCAACCTTTTAGTTGTCCAGTAAATCCTGTTATTAGGATATGAGCAGCTAATTGGTTAGTACAGCCATGTGATGTCCTGTAGGCTGTTGCCACCATTGTCATTTGTTGAAGGATTGTGAGAATGTTGTATTCAGAAATCCCATCTATGCTCCATTCATATATGTTATTAGCATTATATGAATTTTGTAAGATATTGGATTTTTCTTCGAGAAGAATATCTGGATAAGTGGCTCTGGAATAATATAGTTTTTGTGGATATTTCGAATTGGTAATTTGGTTTTGTGAAGAAGAGGGTTGATGTAATTTGTTTAAGGTCAAAGATTCTTGAGGTTCTCCCTTGGTAATGGTGCAAGCTGTTTGACTAACACTTGCAGAACCTTGGTTATTTGACCATTGTTTAGACAATGGGGTAGAAAAGGATTGTTCTATTTTGGCTATTCGTTTTCTAATTGGGTTAAGGGTTTGTTTTGAAGTTCTTTTTGAAATTTGGTTAGTATTTTATGAGGTTTGAAAACTGGGTTTGATTAAGAATTGGTTGAAGAGGAAATTTTGGGAATAGGTCGAATTAGGAGATATTCTTCAAGTGTTTGAAGATATTTGTTGTAGTTGTTTTGCTCATAAATTTCATGGATGTCCTTGCTATTGATTGCTCCTTCATCCTGGGTATTTTTGAGCTTGAATGGCTTGACATTAATCACCGTTGACTTGTATGTGAAGGTGATTGACTTTGATGGTGGAAGTTGTGCTTGGATTTCTCCTTCAACTGTCTGCCACCTTGTTACTACATTTGTTGTTTGCGAAAAAGGATAATCAATCCTTTTTCTTTGTGAATATACTTCAAACCAGTCGAAGAATTGAATATGTTGTTTTGTTCTTCTAAAAAACCCATAGAATTGTTCTTGTATCTTTTGTCGATGCTGTCCCTTATATTTGTCAAAGAACCACATTCTTTTTGAATAATTATTGTCAGCATAAAATTCTATTATGATATTTTGTTTATCCAAAGAAATCACCCTTAACTCATCAAGTTGAGGACGACCCTCTGTTATTGAAAAATATGTAGGAGATCTAGGAAGTCCTTCTTGCTCCGCATCATCAGAGGATTCATCTTGAGCCTCTGTAGGAGTAGGTCTGCTGGCTACATACCTTGCCTGTGGAATCTTAGAAGAAAGGTCTAGATCTTGTAGTTTGGTTGAGATGGAAGGAGTCAGTGGTCTGTCTGAAACTGACCTTCTTCCTGTTGAGTATCTAGGCATATCTATACCAGTTGTTGATGAGGATGATGCTCTGAAACTCATAGATCTGTTAAATTTGATTTGAACAACTCCAGAAGCAAATTGTTAAATGCTTGAAACTGATGTATTTTGTATTGGATCTGCTGGAGCTATTTCGGGAAGAACTCAGCTTTCTGGTAGTGAGATCTGGTTCCAGGTGATAGATCTTGGAACTGTAATCCTAGATCTAGCCAGATCTGTTTGGAATAGGATTGTTTCTCCTTTTTGTAATGTCTTTAAGG